AAGAACATTTTTGCCATCTATCCATTTGACAAAGGGCTAATATTCAGAATCTACAAGGAACCTAAACAAATTTATAAGAAAAAGACAAACAACCCCATCAAAAACTGGGTGAAGGATATGAACAGACACTTCTCAAAAGAAGACGATGATTTGGCCAACAAACATATTTTAAAAAGCTCATTATCACTGGTCATTAGAGAAATGCATAACAAAACCACAATGAGATACCATCTCATGCCAGTTAGAATGGTGATTATTAAAAAGTCAGAAAACAACAGCTGCTGGAGAGGGTGTGGAGAAAAAGGAACACTTTTACATGGTTTGTGGGAGTCTAAATTAGTTCAACCATTGTAGAAGATAGTGTGGTGATTTCCCAAGGATCTTGAACCAGAAATATCATTTGATCCAGAAATCTTTTATTACTGGGTATATGCCCAAAGGATTATAAATCATTCTACTGTAAAGACACATGCACTCATATGTTTATTGCAGCACTGTTTGCAATAACAAAGACTTGGAGCAAACCCAAATGTCCATCAATGATAGACTGGATGAAGAACATGTGGCACATATATACCATGGAATACTATGAAACCATACAAAAGGATGAGTTCATGTCATTTGCAGGGACATGGATGAAGCTGGAAACCATCATTCTCAGCAAACTAACTCAGGATCAGAAAACCAAATACCGCATATTCTCACTCATAAGTGGTAGTTGAACAATGAGAACACCTGGACACAGGGAGGGGAACATCACACACAGGGGCCTGTAAGTGGGGGGTTGGGGAGGAATAGCATTATGAGAAATACCTAATGTAAATGATGAGTCGATGGTTGGAGCAAACACCATGGCATGTGTGTACCTATGTAACAAACATGCACATTCTGCACATGTATCCCAGAACTTAAAATATAATTTTTAAAATGCTACTGAGGAAATAATAAGACTGATGTATGATTATTCTGTGAATATTATTCAGCACAGGAATGGTCTCAAAAGGGTCTTTACTAAACCCAGCTATTTATGTATCTTATAAAGGGAAAAAATCTGAATAAAAATCTTTGTAATTAAAAAAAAATTAAGCTGTGAAGCCATTTGTTTCTGGACTTTTCTTTTCTGGGAGACTTTTCATTACTAATTCAATCTCATTACTCATTATTGGAAGGCTCAGGTTTCCCATTTCTTTTTTTGTTTAAAGTTGGCTGGTTGTCTGTATCCAGGAATTTATCAGTTTCCTCTAATCTTTTGAATTTATTTGTGTGTAGTTGTTCATAATAGTTTCTAATGATCATCTGTATTTATGTGGTCTCGGTGATTATGTCTCCTTTTTGTTTCTGATTTTATTAATTTGTTTTCTCTCTATTTTTCATTGTTCACTTAGCTAATGGCTTGTGAAGTTTGTTAATCTTTTTACAAACCCACAGCTCATATCATACTGAATGGGCAAAAGCTGGAAGCATTCCTTTTGAAAACCAGCACAAGACAAGGATGTCCCCTCTCACCACTTCTATTTAACATAGTATTGGAAGTTGCTGACAAAAGAAAGGAACAAAAAAAATTCTGATAAAAATAGAGGAGGTCAAATTATCTTTGTTTGCACATGACATGATTCTATATTTAGAAAACCCCATCATCTCAGCCCAAAGGCTTCTTAACCTGGTTAGTAGTAACTTCTGCAAAGTTTCAGGATACAAAAATCGATATGCAAAAATTGCTAGTATCCCTACAAATCAACAGGCAAGAGCCAAATCACAAATGAACTCCCATTCACAGTTGCCACAAAAAATAAAAAAAAATATTTAGGAATACAGCTAATAAGGAAGTGAAAGACCTCTTTAAAGAGAACCATAAACCACTACTCAAAGAAATCATAGATAACACAAACAATGGAAAAACAATTCCATGCTTACAGATAAGAAGAATCAATATTGTGAAAATGGTCAAAGTAATTTATAGATTCAATGCTATTCCCATTAAACTATAATTGACATTCTTCACAGAATTAGAAAAAACCATTTTAAAATTCATATGGAAACAAAATAGAGCCCAAATAGCCAAGGCAATCCTAAGCAAAAAGAACAAAGCTGGGGGCACCACGCTACCTGACTTCAAACTATACTATAGGGCTACAGTAACCCAAACAGCATGGTAGTTGTAAAGGACAGATACATAGATCAATGGAACAGAATAGAGAATCCAGAAACAACACTGCACACCTACAACCATCTTATTTTTGGCAAACCTGACAAAAACAAGCAATGGGGAAAGGATTCCCTATTTAATAAATGGTGCTGGGACAGCTGGCTAGCCCTCTACAGAAAACTGAAAGTAGACCCCTTCTGATATGGTTTGGCTGTGTCACCACCCAAGTCTCATCTTGAATTTATTTTCTATAATTTCCATGTGTGGTGAGAGGAACCTGGTGGGAAGTAATTTAATAATAGGGGTGGTTACCCTCATGCTGTTCTCATGATAGTAGTGTTTTTGTTTGTTTGTTTGTTTGTTTTTAGATGGAGTCTTGCTCTGTTGCCCAGGGGGGTAGAGTGCAGTGGCATGATCTTGGCTCATTGCAACCTCCACCTCCCAGGTTCAAGCAATTCTCCTGCCTCAGCCTCCCAAGTAGCTGGGATTACAGATGTCTGCCACCATGCCTGGCTAATTTTTGTATTTTTAGAAAAGATGGGATTTCACCATATGGGCAAGGCTGGTCTCAAACTCTTGACCTCAGTTGATGCATCCTCCTCAGCATGAGCCACCATGCCTGATTGTGTCTTTGTTTTTAATCCACTTGGCCGGTCTAAATCTTTTACTTGGGAAATTGAATCAATTTACGTTCAAGGTTGTTTGATAGATGAGAATTTACATCTGTCATTTGATATATATATTTTTTTCTGGTTGTTGACTGTCTCTCCTTTATTTCTAAAGGGTAGTTTTGCTGAATATAATATTGACTGATAGTTATTTTCTTTCAGTATTTTGAATGCATCATTCAATTTTCTCTTGGCCTGTAAGGTTTCTGATGAGAAATCTGCTATCAGTATAATGGGGATTCCCTTATATTTGGCTTGATTCTTTTCTCTTGTTGGTTTTATAATTCTTTCTTTGTCTTCGACTTTTGATAATTTGACTATAATGTCTCTTAGTCCCTTAGAGAGGATGTATTTGGGTTGAATCTATTTGGAGAATTTTGCACTTCCTGGATTTGGATATCTCTCTCTCTCCCAAGACTTGCAAAATTTTTTGCTATTATTTTATTAAATGTGTTTTCTATGCCTTTTTCTTTCTTTTCGCCTTCCAGAATTTTACAATGTGAACGTTTTTTGCTTACTGGTGTCTCATAAATCCTGTAAACTTTATTTAAAAAATTTTTTTTCCTTTTAAATCCTCATGTATTAGTTCAAAAGACCTGTCTTCAAGTTCAGAAATCCTTTCTTCTAATTTTTCCATACTGTTGTTGAAAAATTGTTATATTTCATTCATTGACTTTTTCAGCTCTAAAATTTGTTTGGCTCTTTTTTTATGATAGCTATCTCTTTGTTGAATTTTCCATTTAAATCACAAATTGTTTTCCGGATTTTATTTGTTTATCTGTATTCTCCTTTATCTGAGTTTCCTTAAGATTGCTATTTTGAATTCTTCTTCTGGCATTTTGGATATTGCCTTATAATTGGTTCTGCTATTGGAGAATTACTGTGTTCCTTTGGGGGGGTCTATTATATTTTCTTGCTTTTTGATGTTTGATGTTTTTCTATGTTGATACTTACACATCTGGCACAATTTTGCCTCTTCTAATTTTATGGTATAGGCTCCTTAGGAGAAAACTTTTTCATATATAATCCATTTTAGTGACGTTTGCAAATGTTCCTGTGACCTAGGTGGTGAGAGTTTGTGGCAGCAGTGGCACAGCTTTGCTGGGAGTTGGTTTGCCAGTTTGTTTTTCAGGTCATGGGTGCTTGTGTACACATGATGGATTACTCAACCTGGCATCTGGCTTGCTGGGTTTGGGATTATGGGGCTGTTTCCCCAGCCAGGGGCACAAGCACATGGTTGCTTGGCTATCCTCAGGGCATGTCTTCGCGGGGTGGACCCACTGGGCTTTCTTAGGTTCTAGAGTGGGTGGACAGCCACTCAGCCAGTCTGGGGACATGTCTGCTGGGAGTGGGAACACAAGGTTATTTCTCAGGCCCTAGGCACAGTTCCCCAGCTGCTCAGCTGGTCTGATGTATGTCCACCAGGTGGGAAGATGGGGTGCCAGAGGCAGAGTACTTATATGCTTCCCTCCTGAGCTTCTGATGACCACAGGCACCTCCCCACTCCTCTGCTGCTCTCCTGCACTCTCCCTTAGATACTCCAGTAGAATCTTAGCCATCTATTCATTGCTTGGTCCTTTATTGTGGAGTAGATGTGCACCAGGGGCCTCAGTCAGCGATCTTGCTGACATTTGCTTCTGCTATATTTTTCCCTTTGTACTCTAATAAGTAGAAAAATGAGAAATGAACAGAGATGGATGGATCCTTCTCAGTTTGGCTTCTAAAATTCTTGAGAAAGGGCAATGCTGTATTCACCCCCAACATTGGACAAATAACTTTGATAAAGAAGCGGTAGCTGAAGGAAGGGATATAACTGGACCAGCTCATGTGAGCTGCTCGCATGGACCAATCTTCCTGGCTGGGGAAGAAGGATGCAGTAGACGCAGGCTTACAATTTTCAAAATAGTTCAAAACAAAGTATATCATGAAGGAGAATTATTGATTAACCACTTATAACTTTCAAGATATTAACACATTTGATGACATGACTTCTAACTTCTGTTTTACAATGATTTCTTTCCTTTTTTTAAAATCAAATCAATGGTATTACAATTTTACAGTGATTTCTGTGTAATTATCGTTAACTGATTGCCTATCATGTTGATTAAGACTTTGTGAAGAAATGCTGGCTTCTACTCTAAGTACATAAAATTGATTTTATTTATTCTTTTCTAAAGATTTTCTAGCCTCAAGCAGTTCATGTATGGATGGAACACAGATTACACAGAACAATTCAGCACTTCCCACAGAAGGTAAAACGCTTCCTTAGTCATGGCCAGCACTGAGGGATGGAAAGTTGAGCTTTCTTAGAAATATTAGCTGATGGCCTGACTGGAAGCCAGTCTTATAACTACTTGAAGAATGCGGTGATCTTAATACTGTGATATGAAGGATCCTGAATGACCCAACCTCTGGTTGTTCTCCAAATAAGCCTCTGAAGCTTTGCTAAGGTGTAGTGGTGGAAGAAGCAGGGATTTCACTACCTCTCAGATCTATGTTAAAGTACTATCTCTTTCTTCATCTAGTTATGAGTTTATTAATTTGCTGTGAAATGCAAGGGCTGGAATACAAACCACATAAAAGACAGGTGACACCAAAACAGGATACGAGAGATATTAAATACAGGGTTTAGCAAAAACATCCTTCATCCACATAAAGGTTAGCCCCTTTATAGCTGATTCTGCTGATGCTATAGTGATGAAACCACTGACACTCACCTTTGTTACAGGTGAGTAGTGACAGATACTTTAGATGACTAATTACCTCTCACCAAACCCTTACCAAGTCACCAACTTGTTGATTTATGTGATGTGTGAGGTTTTATTTTGGAAGATGCTTGTAGGATGCAGGGCTTAATTTTTCCTTTAAATGATGGACAGGGATCAACTTACACATATAGTGTTGATAACTGGATTGGGTATACAGAAATAAAATCTGTGAGTTAAGTTCACAGCTGAACTATCTGAAAGTGTGTATGTGTGACTAAATAGGAAGGAATGAAAACTCATCCAAAGGCTATATTTGATAATTTAATGGATTTGCTATACAATACTTAAGAAAAATGTTTAAAGGGAAATAAATCTTTCTTAAAAATTATATATCACACTACACTTTCACAAGAAATAAATATTTCTAAGCATCTCTTATCAGTAGGCATAATCATTTTTCATTTTTATGGGATGGCTCAACTGGTGAAATAAGTGTTTTTTTTTTTTTATCTGTGGATTTTACTGACTTTGTGATTCCTTAAATGAAAAATGAACTGAACAAAATTTCTAGCTAGTTCAACCCAAATGCCATATTAGTTACTTTAAAAGAAATAACTATATATTAATACTAACCACATTTATGTTTGTTCAAAACAAAAACATAAATAGAGATAGACTTTTTTGGGCTCACCAGAGCTGAGGAGGAGACAACCACATCACTAATTTTTCCATTTTCTTTCCTATGGCACATAAATTGTATGATAAAGACAATAGTTTCCACCACCTAAAGATTAGATGTAGAACATTGCTTTGTTGTTTAATTTACAATTCTCTTTGTTCCTAGATAGTAAAACTTCTGAGTGAATATAAAAATACTTTATCAAATGTATATATTTCTAATAATACATAATACAGGAGAAAATTGGTTAATCTCTGGATTCGTTTTAATATATTATTTTTATTTTGTGAATTTTAATTTTTTATGAAAGTCTAATATTTTGGAATAAGATCACCAGCAAAGTTATGTTCTAGTGTAACTTCATGTGATATGTTAATAAATGTAACACATGAAATCCTTTATTTTCTTTTATCATTCTCCTTTCATGTATGCGTCCAGTAAATACTTCATGGCCTATACTGATGGGTAAAAACGCTGTGCTTCATTGCCCTCCTATCGCATTAAAATGTTTGATCATAATAACATGGGAAATAATCCTGAGAGACCAGCCTTCCTGTAAAAAAGCCTACAGGAAAGGAACAAATGAGACCAAGGAAACCAATTGTACTGATGAGAGAATAACCTGGGTGTCTAGACCTGATCAGAATTCGGACCTTCAGATTCATCCAGTGGCCATCACTCATGACGGGTATTACAGATGCATAATGGGAGCGCCTGACGGGAATTTCCATCGTGGATATCACCTCCAAGTGTTAGGTAAGGAGCATCATATATTGTGGTATTTCACATCACCAGATTTGTGACTGAAGCAAGTGTCTCTTTAAATTCCATATGCTTTATGTGAAAACCGAAGCATTTTTTTCCCTTTTGTTTCTGCAGTTACTCCTGAAGTGACCCTGTTTCAAAGCAGGAATGGAACTGTATGCAAGGCAGGTGCAGGGAAGCCAGCTGCACAGATCTCCTGGATCCCAGAGGGGGATTGTGTCACTGAGCAAAAATACTGGGACAATGGCACAGTGACTGTTAAGAGTACATGCCACTGGGAGGGCCACGATGTGTCTACCGTGACGTGTCATGTCTCCCATTTGACTGGCAACAAGAGTCTGGACATAGAGCTACCTCCTGGTCAGTAATGGTTTTAGTTTTGACTTTTTCCCATTCTTTTAAAGGAATTATATTAGGAAAAAAAAAAAAAGGTGTGCAAATAGATTTTGTTCAAGGATGCTCTCTCCACTGTACATTTTTATCTCTTCCCTGACCAAAATAAAGAGATATGTTTCAGAGAATAGTCCAAGCATTTGTTGTAAAAAGCCCTTTTTCAGAATGCCATTTAATTCTATGATTAATGTCCACTACTATGCTAGTAGTTAATTGGCATGAGTATTCTTTTAAAAATAATACTTATGGCTTATTGAAAAATAAAGTATACTTTGAAGCACATAATTATGGTTTTATTAGAAGAATACATTCACTCATAAGTTGCTTTTATGAATTTTTAGTTTGGTGTAATTTTATTTTCTAGGCTTTTCATCACTGAATTTCTTAAATGTCTTATAATAACATTATGATTCAGTTCATTACTGTTTATTTACTCTGCTCTCATCCTACTCTCAGTTCTTGTTATTTTAAAATGATTAAATATCAACAAACATATTGAAAGTGCAATTGTTCTGTAAGGCTTCATGAAAACCATTAGCCCTACCCCTGTCTTTCCAACCCAACTGCCATCTTCATTAAACTCCCCAGAGGTAGGTACTTTCAAATTTTCCAGTGTTTCTTCTAGTAATTGGTGTCATTTTTATCTAATGTGTGCATACTGCTATTTCTTACTGTATCAAATTTAGACATTATGTAATCACAACTTCTTACGGTAGATGAGGATTTCACATTACCCTCTTTATTTCCTTCAAACTTCAATTGAGGTAATGCGATAGCCTATGCTCCCTTTAAACTGAATATTTAAGTACTGTTAAGTGCTGAATCAAGAAATACACTCATGCTTTCCCTTTTGAATGACACTTTTTTGGACTTTATTATTGCTTTACCTCTTGTTTCCGTAAGAATGTAGGTACCTGTTGTAAACTATCACTAAGCCTACTGACAAAACTAGAGAACCCTTTAGTAATATGTTCCATATGGGCAGATTTATTAGGTAAGCTGTTAGTTCTATTTTTTTCTCAAAGTCATTCCTTCTTGAATTTTTCTACGTGCTTGGTCTAGTCTCCCGACCGGCCTCTAGACCTGCTGTACGGCTATTGTCCTGGACACTCTCACCGCCTCAATCCTCTTCTTAGCCTGAATCTACGTAATCTGAGTTTCTTTTGTCTCCTACACATTAACTCTTTCCTTCATATATGAGACTTTCCTTAACTCTTTGGTAGTCCTTGGGTATGGACCATTTTGAAGTGAGTACTAATGAGCTAACTGGAAGTTCTACTAGTTAATGGTTGTGTTTGCCAACCAGTTAGCTTCAGTACAGTGAAAAAGAGCTGCGTGATTTTTTATTAATTAGCAGATTTGTTATATAGCTGAAGGCCTTTTCTCTGGGGCTGTTCAGGCTCTGCAGAAATTAACTCAGCAGTCTCTGGCCTTGGAGAGCTAAGCCTACCAGTGCTTGGGAAGGGAGAGAACAGTGTGTGTATGTGTGCGAGTGTGCATGTGAGTGCGGCACTGTTTGAGAATCAGACTTTCCTTTCTGCCTGTATTCAGTGTGGTATGTTATTCTCACCCTCCCTGATGTCCGGATCCTTGACTTTGGAGTCTCTCCAGTCATCGTCTCTAGGCCAATCTGCCAATCTCCCCTTTTCCTGCCGGCTGGGAAAGGTGTGCGACCTAAGATGGGGCAGGAGACGTGGCGACCTGCCTGTTCTCAAGACAAACTTTCAGAGAAGCTCTGAACTTTTAGCCCCACTCTTCACCCCTCCACACACTCCTTTTTCTACATTTGGTGCTTCCTACTCTAGAGGCTTCCTGGAGTTTTTGTGTGTACTAAGGTTTTTATTTATTCTATCTTGTAAATCATAAGCCAGTTTTCTATTCATTTCTCACTTAAAAATAGTGTGAAATCTTTCATCTGTTCTTGTCTTCATCCCTCTTCATTTCGTCTTTGTAGATCTACACTAAAAAAATCTTTTTACTCACACTTTAGTAAGTTTTAATGAGGGAGAAGAGAAAAATCTCATGTGTTGAAACCACGATTTTTTTTTATATCTATTATTTAAGTCATTTTTTTAGTAGTATTTACTGAAAAGAGCAGTTGTGCCTTGGTTATGTATGAAATCTCGCCATTTCATATTAGAATATGATGTCAGATTTATAGTGTCTCAGAATTGAAGGGAACTTCTTGTTCAAATTCCTATGTAGTGCAAGGATGTCCCTGATGTCTTCTTTGCACCATGGATCTTCAGCCTCTCTAGTACACACTCAATGAGAGAGAGCTTAGTGGTTGGAAAACAAGGGTTTTAAAAAATGTTGTTTTAAACAGTGAAACCAAACATTCCATTTTCATATAACATATGGAGAAATGCAATATTTAAAAACATCAACTTTGGAAGGAAAGTGAAAGGACCAGACACCAGCCTGCTCAGTTTCCACTTCATCTCCTTCTGCTGCCCCTGAGCCATATTCACGCAACACCAGGAGCATAGTTTGCAAATCATTGCCTCTCAAGTTGGCAATTCCTTTGTTGACTTGCATGCTTATCAGAGTTTTGTATTGCTGCTGGCAGCTAATAAATAGAGTGTCTGCTATATATTCATTTTAATTTCAATGCCCTGGCAGAAAGATGATTGCAGAATTAGGGTTACTTTTCCAAGTACTTTCCTTAAAATTGCCTATTTATTAATAAATGCCATTACTGCCCATTTATGAATGTTGGAGGGAAGAAACACTCTGGTATAAAAGAGTGGTAGGAATTCACCCCTCATGAATCTTTAAAGCAACAAAATCCTAATATAAGGTGATGTCTTGCTGAAAACTGTGGAGTCTGCATTGAAAAAGCAATTTTAATAATTCTTAAACTATTAATGGATCAGAAGTATTGAAAATGAAACTACAGATATGAATTTCATGTAATGTGAGACATTATTGAGCCATCTACATCTATAGACATGGATATAAATATAGTTAACTTTATTTTTAGTAGACATTAATTTTTAGAGCAGTTTTAGGTTCACAGCAAAACTGAGTGGAAAGTACAGAAACTTCTCATATAACCCCTGCCCTTGCCCATGCCCACCTCCCCCACCTACAGGTATCCTGCACCACAGTGTTACATTTATTAGAATTGTTGAACCTCCACTGATGCAACACTACCACCCAAAGCCCATACTTTATACATTAGAGTTCACTCCTGGTGTTGTACATTGCGTGCGTTTGGACAAATGTGTAATGACATGTATCCACCAGTATAGTATTATACAGAACAGCTTTATTGTCCTACACAATCCTCCTTGCTCTTCCTATTCCTCCCTCCTTCCTCACCATAGTCAATGATTTATTGACTATTCCCCTAGTTTTGTCTTTTCCATAATGTCTTACAATTGGAATCATACGATATGTAATCTTTCCAGATGGGCATGTTTCACTTAGTAATATACATTTGAAATTCCTCCATGTCTTTTATGGTTTGATAGCACATTTCTTTTTTTAATTTTTATTGCATTTTAGGTTTTGGAGTACATGTGAAGAACATGCAAGATTGTTGCATAGGTACACACATGGCAGTGTGATTTGCTGCCTTCCTCCCCATCATCTATATCTGGCATTTCCCCCCATGTTATCTCTCCCCAACTCCCCACCCCCTGCTGTCCCTCCCCTATTTCCCCCCGACAGACCCCAGTGTGTGATGCTCCCCTCCCTGCGTCCATGTGTTCTCATTGTTCAACACCCACCTATGAGTGAGAACATGCAGTGTTTGATTTTCTGTTCTTGTGTCAGTTTGCTGAGAATGATAGTTTTGATGGCTGCATAATATTCCACGGTGTATATGTGCCACATTTTCCCTGTCCAGTCTATCATTGATGGGCATTTGGGTTGGTTCCAGGTCTTTGCTATTGTAAACAGTGCTGCAATGAACATTCATGTGCATGTGTCCTTACAGTAGAATGATTTATAATCCTTTGGATATATACCCAGTAATGGGATTGCTGGGTCAAATGGAATTTCTATTTTTAGGTCATTGAGGAATTGCCACACTGTCTTCCACAATGGTTGAACTAATTTATACTCCCATCAACAGTGTAAAAGTGTTCCTATTTCTTCACATCCTCTCCAGCGTCTATTGTCTCCAGATTTTTTTTTTTTCTGAGTCGGAGTTTCGCTCTCGTTACCCAGACTGGAGTGCAATGGTGCGATCTTGGCTCACCGCAACCTCTGCCTCCTGGGTTCAGGCAATTTTCCTGCCTCAGCCTCCTGAGTAGCTGGGATTACAGGCACGTGCCACCATGCCCAGCTAATTTTTTGTATTTTTAGTAGAGACGGGGTTTCACCGTGTTGACCAGGATGGTCTCAATCTCTTCACCTCGTGATCCACCCACCTTGGCCTCCCAAAGTGCTGGGATTACAGGCTTGAGCCACCGCACCCGGCTGTCTCCAGATTTTTTAATGATCACCATTCGAACTGGTGTGAGATGGTATCTCAATGTAGTTTTGATTTGCATTTCTCTAATGACCAGTGATGATGAGCATTTTTTCATGTTTGTTGGCCTCATGTATGTCTTCTTTTGTAAAGTGTCTGTTCATATCATTTGCCCACTTTTGAATGGGCTTGTTTTTTTCTTGTCTGTTTTAGTTCTTTGTAGATTCTGGATATTAGCCCTTTGTCAGATGGGTAGACTGCAAAAATTTTTTCCCATTCTGTTGGTTGCCGATTCACTCTAATGATTGTTTCTTTTGCTGTGCAGAAGCTGTGGAGTTTGATTAGGTCCCATTTGTCTATTTTGGCTTTTGTTGCCAATGCTTTTGGTGTTTTGGTCATGAAGTCCTTGCCTATGCCTATGTCCTGAATGGTTTTGCCTAGATTTTATTCTAGTGTTTTTATGGTGTTAGGTCTTATGTTTAAGACTTTAATCCATCTGGAGTTAATTTTAGTGTAAGGTGTCAGGAAGGGGTCCAGTTTCAGCACATGGCTAGCCACTTTTCCCAACACCATTTATTAAACAGGGACTCCTTTCCCCATTGCCTGTTTTTGTCACTGAATAATAAGATAGTACATTATTTGGATTGTACCACATTTGAATCCTATATTTTTGTGTTTGTAGTTGCAGGTGCCAAAATATCAGCAAAATTATATATTACATATATCATCCTTGCTATTATTTTGATCATCGTGGGATTCATTGTGTTATTGAAAATCAGTGGCTGCAGGTATTGACTGATGATTTTTCTTCTTCAGCTTAATTAGGCTAGAAAAGAGTCAGAAATATGGAACTGATTGAGGTATATTAGGATGTTAACATCAAATTTCCCATAATCAAATCTTGAGAGCATTAGACTTGGACTACTTTGAATGATGACAGAAATTTTGCTAGGTTGCTTTTGCATAGAAGCCTGGAAAATCAGGCCATTTAGGACAGGATCTTGGGGGAGAAAGTGCATGTTAATTTTTACATTTGAGTAAATAATTAGAATTTCTTCATGTACGAAAGAGGAGTTGTTACATTCATTCAATTGCATCAAGCTTATATTGCATAATTGCATTTCCTTTTTCAAAATCCAGAATATTCTTGCTTGGGGTTATTAATCACGAGCAGTATTCTTCACTCATTTCTAGTAGTTTCCTTCCGATTTATTATGGCTTCTATCAAAATTAACCACAATTGTCAATAGTATACTGTCTTATTTTTCCCATTTTCAATCTAAACAATGATGTTTCTTCCATTCACTTCAGTTTATTTTATTTTTATAGAAAATATAAATGGAATAAAACAGAAGCTACTCCAGTTGTTGAGGAGGTAAGATAAAAAAGAATACTTACAAACTTAAGCCAATAGTCTGTAAAATCTAGCAACTTAATTTGTAGTTTGTGTCAATATTAGTGTTTCAGTTGAAAAACAAACAGTTCTGATTTACAATGCTTATATGTGTAATTACTTTGTTCATTATCTATCAAATACTATTTATACATCACTCTAGATCCACATTTTCACTTCATGAACCATATCCTAACACACATGATGTTTGTCTCCCTTCTTTGGACTGTAATCTTTGGAGAAACTGAATTGGTGTTTATTTTCATCAATTTAGGGCAGGATCTTGGGAGAATAGGGCAGGATCTTGGGAGACAAAGTGCATGTTAATTTTTACATTTGGGTAAATAATTACAATTCCTTCATGTACCAAAGAAGAGTAGTTACATGCAATCAATGAAATGCTTTCTAAGGCATTAGAAAAATCTCTACTTTTTCCTTTTCAATACTATCATCATTTCTCTCTTACACAAACTTAAAACATATCCTGCTCCTTAATCTCTTATTATAGGTAGCTTACTAAGTCTCCAAAGCTCTCCTTTGGAATATTTCTCATATCACTTCATTCATCTCCATTCCTACTTTCACAGAGCCATTGTCTCTACACAGAGACTTGTGTAATTGATAAACACTTTTTGATAAAACATTAGAACAAAGCCTGCTCTTATGTTTATATAAGCCTAGAAACATAATTATAAGCACTCTGGAGCACCTGTTAGAAATAGAGCTATGGGTTACTGCTCCAAGAATACAGATAGTTTCTATAGATTCTTTTGAGTTGATTTTAACTTTGAGTTCTTTCTTAGGATGAAATGCAGCCCTATGCAAGCTACACCGAGAAAAACAATCCTCTCTATGATACTACAAACAAGGTGAAGGTATCTCAGGCATTACAAAGTGAAGCTGGCACAAACCTCCATGCTTTATAATTTGTTGGACTCTTGCACCAAACAACAACAACAACAAACAAGATACATTATAATTACTGTCTGATTTTCTTACAGTTCCAGAATGAAGACTTATATTGAAATTAGGTTTTCCAAGGTTCTTGGAATGTACAGAAGACATTTTAATGAATTTTCATTTATACCCTTGTATAATTGGAATTTTAGATTCTTAGCTACCAGCTAGTTCTCTGAAGAACTGATATTACTTCAAAGAAAATACATGCTGATGACCAAATATTCAAATTTTGCAGGACAGTAAATAATGAAAACCAAATTTCCTCCAGAAATAACTGAAGAAGGAACAATCATGAACAGTTTCTTGTGTATCCTTTCAGAATATTTTTATGTACATATGACATGTCTATATGCCTATGGTATATGTGTCCATTTATATGTCTATTTAAATATACACACAGATATCTTTGCTAAGGCACCAGTGGGAAGAATACACTGCAATACTGTTCTATACATATGAAAACCAAATAATATAAGTCTTAGAGATCATTTTATATCATGACAAGTAGAGCTACCTCATTCTTTTTAATGGCTATATAAAATTCCATTGTATAGTTATATCGTTATTTAATTAAGCACAACTCTAATGATGGACATTTAGATTCTTTTAAGTTTTGTTTATTTCTTTGAAGTTTTGTTTGTGGTATAAACAACACCACATAGAATGTTTCTTGTGACTATGTCTCTTTGTTTTTGTTTGAGTATATCTGTAGAATATCCTTAAGTGGAATTGTCATGACAAAGGGTTTATAAATTTTACCATTGACATATATGTCAAATTGTGTCAAATACATATGTCAAATTCCCTCCAACATTGTTTAAATGTGCCTTTCTTTGAATTTCTATTGTAATATCTGTAAGATTCCTGCTTCTACAGTTGCCGATTTTTCTTTTTAATCAACCAGATTAAATATGATGTGAGATTATAATAAGAATTATACTATTTAATAAAAATGAATTTATATTTTTGGTCATGTTTGTATGAGAGTGAATGCACCTATGAGAACATTAGCTTATTCTGAACTCATTATATCTCTACAGAGGTGTTGATACTTGATGCCTAACAGTTTTGCAGATGTGCTACATTGGAATCAAGTATTTTTAGGGTATACATTTTATTGTGCTACATTTATTGAATAATGAATGTCTAATGACCATATCAGCAGCAAAATATGCACCATAAAGGACATGGGGCATTATTTATAAGATATGAGCTACATGACAAGAGAGTGGCCATGGGATGGCATGTCCCTCCCCTCCATATTTCTGTAGAGTCAAATATTGGCAATGTGTAATCATTTTTAATATCATGAAATTATTTTTTAATTATAAAAAATAAGTCTATTTGCTCCATAGAAGAAAAAAAATTAGAAGTTTTTTTGGTCATGATAGAAATTAAAACAAAATGTATTCATTCTTCAATCATGCCATCTGAGACTTTTAAGACATCTATTTTCTCTTACATTTTTCTCCCTCTAGACATTTCAGTTACTATGGACTTTAATCCTTAAAAGGATTCTTAGTCTATTTTGGATATAAAGCTAATCTAATGACACTTGGCACCTGATATTTTGATCAAAACATTTTGACTTGGCCAAAAAACAGAGTCCATTAGGTTTCTACATATAAATATGACCAAGCAATGTTCATAAGAAACATGATTACACTGTCCTTGAAATTTAATAATTCTTCATCCAACCCTGGTTGAGCTAAGCCTCATAGTTAACTTAGGTCCAAGACCATATTTTTAAAAATTACTGATAAAGTAAGACAGTACTATACTTACCTCTTAACTTGATAATGCCAAAACAGGCATGTTAACTGACATCATAGTAAAGACTTCACGATAATTTATGAAAGTTAAGTATTGTACAGAAAATAATTGTACTAAAATCTCAACTATGAGCTGGAACAAGGGTGAACATTATAGATCATATAAAAAAATTATACATATTCTCCAAACCCATGCTAGACCTGTCAAATTAGAAAATCTAGAGATTATATCTGGTAGGTCAGCAAGGTCATCCAGGAAGCAGAGGCTGAGATGGAGTTAGGTGCGATTACTTACATAGTCAATTACATTTTACAAATCTCATTTTATATGTCTCATTTACTGTGCTTTCTCCCCACCCCATTTTGTATCTTTTCCTTTGCTTTGCTAGATTTGTTAATTTTCTCTCTGTCTCTCTCTGTCTTTCAACATCTCCAGTTACGTGAAATTTATTCATCATAAATATACATCTATTGAGTCTATGCTTCATTTGCAAACTTCTGAAAATAGCTTTACTGAGATATAATTGATATATTTAAGTGTACAGTTTGTTAAATATTGACACATTTAAAATGTATGGTTTGGTAAATGTTGACCTAACTTTACATCTGTAAAGCTATCAGCATAATCAAGGTAATAAACTTATCCATCATCCTCCAAAATTTTCTTGTTTCTTTGTGAGCCTGTCCCTACAATCTTGTTCCTCTTCATCGCTCACTCCCAAGGCAATCTCTGATTTGCTTTCTGTAGCTATGCATTAGTTTGCATTTTCTAGAATTTTCCATAAAGAGAATCATACAATAGCTATTTTTATTTTGGTTGGACTTTTTTTCTCATTATAATTATTTTGAGAAATATCTACACATTGATGCTTTGTACGTTTTATTGCAAATATTGAATTTAATAACTAAAATTATAAACTAATATATAATATACAATAAATTATATAATGTATATATTATATATTATTACATAATATATAATATATTATGTTTTATAATATATAATTATAAATGATTTATATAATATATATTGTATATATTTATATATTAGTTTATAATTTTAGTTATAAAATTCACTATTTGCAATAAAAAGTATAAAGTATCAATGTTTAGATATTTCTCAAAATAATTATGAGAAAAGAAGTCCAACCAAAAAAAAGAAGAAGTACCTGTCATCTACATTAGGTATTTCTGGTAATGCTATTTCTCCCCTGGCTCCCCACACCCAACAGGCCCTGGTGTGTGATGCTCCCCTCCCTGTGTCCATGTGTTCTCATTGTTCAACTCCCACTTATGAGTAAGAACATGTGGTGTTTGGTTGCCTGTTCCTGTGATAGTTTGCTGAGAAGGATGGTTTCCAGCTTCATCCATGTCCCTGCAAAGGACATGAATTCATCCTTTTGTATGGCTGCACAGTATTCCATGGTGTATATGTACCACATGTTGTTTATCCAGTCTATCATTAATGGGCATTTGGGTCTTTGCTATTGTGAACAGTGCTTCAATAAACATATGTGTAAAAGCATTCCTATTTCTCTACATCTGCTCCAGCATCTGTTCTTTCCTGACTTTTTAATAATCACCATTCTAACCGGCATGAAATGGTATCTCATTGTGGTTTTGATTTGCATTTCTCTAACAATCAGTGATGATGAGCATTTTTTTTTATGTTTCTTGGCCACATAAATGTCTTCTTTTGAGAAGTGTCTGTTCATATCCTTTGCCCATCTTCTGATGGGGTGGTTTGTTTTTTTCTTGTAAATATATTTAAGTTCCTTGTAGATTCTGGGTATTAGCCCTTTGTAAGATGGATAGATCGCAAAATTTTTTCCCCATTCTGTAGGTTGCCACTCTGATGATAGTTTCTTTTGATGTGCAGAATCTCTTCAGTTTAATTAGATCCCATTTGTCAATTTTGGCTTTTTTTTTGCCATTGCTTTTAGTGTTTTCGTCATGAAAACACTAAAAGTCTTTGGCCATGCCTATGTCCTGAGTGGCATTATCTAGGTTTTGTTCTAGAGTTTTATGGTTTTAGGTCTTACATTTACATCTTTAATCCATCTTCAGTTGAATTTTGTATAAGATGTAAGGAAGGGGTCCAGCAGCAGTGTTCTGCATATGGCTAGCCAGTTTTCCCAACACCATTTATTAAATAGAGAAGCTTTTCTCCATTGATTGTTTTTGTCAGGTTTGTCAAAGATCAGATGGTTGTAGATGTGTGGCATGATTTCTGAGGCCTCTGTTCTGATCCACTGATCTATATCTCTGTTTTGGTACCAATATCATGCTGTTTTGACTATTGTAGCTTGTAGCATAGTTTGAAGTCAGGCAGCATGATGCCACAAGCCTTTTTTTTTTTTTCTTTTGAGATGGAATCTCTTTCTGTCACCCAGGCTGGAGGACAGTGGTGCCATCTTAGCTCACTGCAACCTCTGCCTCCTGGGTTCAAGCGGTTCTCCTGCCTCAGCCTCCTATCTGGGAGTACAGGCATGTGCTGCCAGGCCCAGCTAATTTTTGTATTTTTAGTAGAGACGGGGTTTCACCATGTTGGCCAGGCTGGTCTTGAACTCCTGACCTTGCGATCCACCTGCCTTGGCCTCCCAAAGTGCTGGGATTATAGGTGTTAGCCACCTCACCCAGCTTCCTCCTGCTTTGTTCTTTTTGCTTAGGATCGTCTTGGCTATATGGGCTCTTTTTCAGTTCCATACAAAATTTAAAGTAATTTTTTTATAATTCTCTGAAGAAAGTCAATAGTAGCTTGATGGGTATAGCACTGAATCTATACATTACTTTGGGCAATGTGGTCATTTTCCTGATACTGATTCTTCCTATCCATGAGCATGGAATGTTTTTCCATTTGTTTGTGTCCTCGTTATTCCCTTGAGCAGCGTTTTGTAGTTGTCCTTGAAGAGGTCCTTCACATCCCTTGCAAGTTGTATTTCTAGGTATTTTATTCTCTTTGTAGCAATTGTGAATGGGAGTTCACTCATGATTTGGCTATTTGTCTATTATTGGTGTATAGGAATGCTTGTGATTTTTGCACATTGATTGTGTATCCTGAGACTTTGCTGAAGTTGCTTATCAGCTTAAGGAGATTTGGGGCTGAGAAGATGAGGTTTTCTAAATATACAACCATGTCATCTGCAAACAGAGACAATATGACTTCCTTTCTTCCTATATGAATATTCTATATATCCTTCTCTTGCCTGATTGCCCTGGCCAGAACTTCCAATACTATGTTGAATAGGAATGGTGACAGAGGACATCCTTGTCTTGTGCTAGTTTTCAAAGGGAATGTTATCAGCTTTTGCCCATTCAGTGTGATACTGGCTGTGGGTTTGTCATAAACAGTTCTTATTATTTTAAGATACATTCCATTGATACCTAGTTCATTGAGAGTTTCTAGAGTGAAGGGATGTTCAATTTTATCAAAGGCCTTTTCTGCATTTATTGAGATAATCATGTGGTTTTTGACAGTGGTACTGTTTATGTGATGGATTAGGTTTATTGATTAGTGTATGTTGAAGCAGCCTTGCATCCCTCGGATGAAGACCAGCTGATTGTTGTGGATATGCTTTTTGATGTGCTGCTGGATTTGGTTTACCAGTATTTTATTGAGGATTTTCACCCTGATGTTCATCAGAGATATTGACCTGAAATTTTCTTTTTTTGTTGTGCCTCTGGTAGATTTTGGTATCAGGATGATGCTGGCCTCATAAAATGAGTTAGGGGGGACTACCTCCTTTCTATTCTTTGGGATAGTTTCAGAAGATGAAGTCCCATAATAAACTGTCTGCAAGTGGAGGAGGTAGGAAGCCAGCAGTGGCTCAATTCAAGTCCAAAAGTCTCAAAAGTAGGGAATTCACCTATGCAGGCTTCGGTCTGTGGCTGAAGGCCCGAGGGCCTCTGTCAAACCACTGGTGTAACTTCAAGAGTCCAAAGGCTGAAGAACCTGGAGTATGATGTTCAAGGGCAGGAAGCATCCAGCACAAGAGAAAGATGAAAGCCAGAAGACTTAGCAAGCCAGCTTATCTCACTTTCTTCCACCTGCTTTGTTCTAGCTGTGCTGGCAGCTGACTGGATGGTGCCCACCCACACTGGGGATGGGTTTTCCTCTGTCAGTCTACTGACTCAAATGTTAACCTCCTCTGACAACACCCTTACAGACACACCTAGAAACAATGCCTTACCAGCTATTTAGACACCCTTCAATCCAAGTTGACACCTAATATTAACCATCATGGCCACTTTCATGTTCACATGACATTTCCCTGTGTATATGTCTGTCTCCAAATTCCCCCTTAATATAAGGATTCTTATCATATTAGACTAGGGCCCACCCTAATGACTTCGTTTTAACTTGATTATCCCTAAAGTGACCCTGTCTGAAGTATTAGGAGCTAGGACTTCAATGTGTAAATGTTAGGGGAACACAATTCAATCCATAACAAATGTATCACCTTTTCATTTGTCTTCATTCATTATAGCAGCTAACACCTTTCTCCCCGCTATAAAATTACCATCGCAGATCCCCTGTTTTATGTAAAAAGATCATCTCTATGGCTATTGGTTTGGAGCAAATATTACTAGGAGTCACTTGAAGATTTTTGCAGCTATCTTCATCAGGGATATTGGGCTGTAGTTTTCTTGTGGTACCTTGTTCTGATTTTGACATCAAGGTAATGCTGGCCTCATAAAATCAGTTTGGAAGTGTTCCTTCCTATTCAAGATTTTGAAGGAGTTTGAGAACAACTGGTATACATTATTTGTTAGATGTTAGGTACATTTTTCCAGTGAAGGCATCAGGCTCTGGGCCTTTCTTTCTTGGGAGTTTTCTGATTCCGACTTCAATCTTATTAGTTATAAGTCTTTCTATTACTTTATGATTGAGTCTTGGTAGGTGGTATGTTTCTAAGAATGTACAGTATTCATTTCTTGTAGGTTATATAGCTTGTTGGCATAAAATTGTTCATAGTCTCCTAAAATCTTTTTATTTCTATGGCAACAGTTGGAATGTTTCACCTTTATTTCTGATTTTGTCTTTTCTTTTTTTCTTAGCCTAAAGGCTTGCGAATTTTATCTTTCAAAAAGCCAACCTTAGTTGCACTGATGTTTTTCTATTGTTATTATATCTCTGTTTTATTTATCTTTATTATTTCCCTCTTCTGATAACTTTGGATTTAGTTCGTTATTATTATCCTGGTTCCTTGGGGTGTAGAGTTAGTTTTTTATTTGTGGTTTTTCTTCTTTTTAATGTAGGGATTCATTGCTATAAACTTCCCTTTTACTACTGTTTTTTCTGTATTTTAGGAGTTTTGGTATGTTGTACATGTCGGGTGTTTTTTATATCCCCTTTTATTTTTTGACCCAATGATTGTCTGAAAATGCATTATTTAACTTCCATGTATTTATGAACTTTCATCAACATACTAAAATCAGTTGCATTTCTATATACTAGTAACAAACTATCTGAAAAGAAAATGAGAAAAAATCCTATTTACAACAACATCAAAAAATAAAATACTTATAAATAAGCTGATCTAAGCAAGCGAAATATTTGTTCACTGAAAATTACAAAACATTGATGAAAGAGATTAATGAAGACAGAAACAAATGGAAAGACATTCTGTGTTCATGGATTGGAAGACTTAATATTGTTA